AAAAAAAAAAAAAAATTCCCATGGCCGACCTAAAAGGTGACCTTATTCCCCCCCCCCAATGGAGCCAAATGTCAAATTTTCAAATTTCGATACCAAAAAAAAAAAAGTGTCTCTAACCCCCCCCCCCCCCCCCCCCCCCCCCCCCTGCGTACGCGCCTGATGTGCATAACGATAAAAACTTCACGATTATAATAATACTAAAAACACCTTTGTTTCACAATATTTTTAGGTGCTCTTCAAAAAAAAAGATTTGAGATAAATGAGGTAAAAGTAATTATAGTACAATTGTACAAGTTAATGCACAGAGAAATTCAAGTATTGAATTGAAAGAGTGAATAAGCAGGCTTTGTAAGAAAGGTAATGTATGAGAGTATTATTAAAAGCATATTAACTAAGTACTCTAGAATGCAAAGACTCTCCGGAGTCATAAATTTTGCACAATAATTTTTTTAGTACTATGCGAATTTCGCCGGTAAATATTTTCTCACGATTTTGGCCCTTCCCTACCAGATCGTATTGATATTTTCCTAACTTTCTTCCTATCTCCTTCTTTCTCTCTCTCTCTCCTCTCTCTATCTCATTCTCTCCCCTCTCTCTCTCTCTCTCTCTCTCCCTTTCTCATTTCCTCTTTCTCTCCCTCTGTCTTTCTCTTTTCTTTCTCTATGCTCTCTTGGGAATTTCTTTATAGTATGTTAAATTTATTTCAGGTTCATTGCAATGATGTCTACAATGTTGAATACTTGGGCTGATTTTACCGAGTCTACAGATCGTACTGATATTTCCCTAACTTTCTTCCTATCCTCTTCCTTCTCTCTCTCTCTCTCTCTCTCTTTCTCTTGTCTTTTTTTTGGGTCTTTTTCTCATTTTCTCCCGCTCTCTCTCTTCCTCTATCTTACTCTTTTATCTTTCTATGCTCTCTTGGGAATATCTTTATTGTATTTTAATTCTTATGCATTTTAATTTTCTTTTTATTGGACTCTCGGTCTGTGCCTGATTTAGTTATTGCACAGCTCGAGAGCCCTCTTTTGATGAAATTGTAATGATGTATACTTATTGTTGTTTTTGTTTATATGTCCTTTTTGCAATATTTACTGATAATAGTTCAGTTATTTGATATTTTAACTTATGTAAATTGTGTATTTATTAATTACTGCTATTTTATTATGTATATTTGATTTGAATTTTATTTTGTACCCAAGACAGTTGTCAGTCTTTGGACTGTTTGCTCTTGGTTTTTGATGTTTTGATTTCAATAAAATCCTATATATATCTTACCAGTATTAGATTTCCATTTCCTAAATAAACCCGTGAAACCTCGGTCTTTCGATACACAAAAGAAGATTACTAAATTTGGCACTCGGTTTAATGGTCCAGGTTTGTTTTAATCTAGAATGCCTTTGCATGGTTTCATTAATGAGATATATCTCAGGTCAAATCCTATACTGAGTGATGTAATCGAACACTATTATAGTATCAAATTTCCATTTTCCTAAATAAACCCGGGAAACCTCGGTCTTTCGATACACAAAAGAAGATTACTAAATTTGGGGCATGGTTTAATGGTGTTGGCACTCGGTTTAATGGTCCAGGTTTATTTGAGACTAGAATGCCTTTGCATGGTTTCATTAATGAGATATATCTCAGATCAAATCCTATACTGAGTGATGTAATCAAACACTATTATAGTATCAAATTTCCATTTTCCTAAATAAACCCGGGAAACCTCGGTCTTTCGATACACAAAAGAAGATTACTAAATTTGGCACTCGGTTTAATGGTCCAGGTTTGTTTGAGACTAGAATGCCTTTGCATGGTTTCATTAATGAGATATATCTCAGATCAAATCATATACTGAGTGATGTAATCGAACACTATTATAGTATCAAATTTCCATTTTCCTAAATAAACCCGGGAAACCTCGGTCTTTCGATACATAAAAGAAGATTACTTAATACTTACTGTGTTATATTTCCATTTTCCTAAATAAACCCGTGAAACCTCGGTCTTTCGATACACAAAAGAAGATTACTTAATACTTACTGTGTATATATTTCAAGAACAACATAACACAACAATAAACAATTATACCCTTTTTTATGCATCGTTATTATTATTCCATGAAAAATCATGGACTATAAGTTTTATGAAACAAGAATAAGTCAGTCGATCTTTTGCAGAGACTTTTAATTTCGTTCAACTGCCGAGTTTAATAAGCGAGTTAGATTCTGCGCATGCGCGAAAAATCCTCCGTGACCTTTTCGCTGGATCAATTGGGATTAATATTGGTCGGTGCTGTGCTTACACACAACAGTGAACGGGGAATGTTAGCATTTATCACGTACTAGATACGATTTTTTTTTACATCATGACATCATTCCTTTTCTACAAATCATCTTGAGCTGGTAACTGGATATATTTTCCTTCTTTCCTTTTGTTTTGTACGTGATCAGCAAATGATTAAGTATTTTTCTTCTTTGCAATCGGCAGTTGCCTCCACAGAGGCGAAAGTATGCCGTGTCCCGACTTTTGCCCCATATAGTATATTTTGTGTAAGCCGTCTGCTTCGCATGGCAATCGTTAAAAAAGGTCGTGATTCTGACCTTAAAATTTGATAACCGGTGTTAATAATAACTCATATGTGAAGGGGTATTATAGGGAACAAGGCAGATTTATTTGGTAAATTTGTATGATCATTGGGATTTTAACCTTAATTAAGGCAATAATCTTCCTTTCTTAGGGGGGGGGGGGGGGATTGAGACTATCGGCTGTGATTTTTTTTCCCAAGAAAGAAGAAATATTTTCCTGCCCAAATAGAAATCATTATAATTTGTGTTAACATGAAATATTTTCTCTCTTTTTTACAATCAGACTATCATCATGGGGAGAATCTATGCTGTTATTGGGTGCTCGAACAGTACATTCAAGCTTGATAAATGGTATTCACAATTGTGTGACAGACATGGCCTGAAATATGGGGCCTGCGTATGCACACCACCTTTTGTACCATTACCTTTTCCTTTGCAAAATAAAGATGCAGACGGCCGTCGACGATGGATAAAGGCGATAAATCGAAAACGTCCAAATGGCAAAAACTGGGAACCGACGTATGGAGATAGGGTTTGCTCATATCACTTCCGAGATGGACAACCTAGTGCAGCGTGGCCAGACCCAACAATGAATCTGGGATACAGCTCAGCACACCAGTCTTCACATAAATCTCCTCGTCTGCCTCCAAGTGAAAGACCTCAGTGCCCAGAAAAGAAGAAATCAACAAGTAAACGGAAGAGAAAGAAAGTCGACCTGACAGGAGATCCTGACTCATATGAAACCTCTATGGCTGAGGAGCACCTAGAAGTCAGTGAGACAGCTTCAGGTAAAGAAAAGAGGAAATCAACATGTAAACGGAAGAGAAAGGATGTCGACTTGACAGGAGATCCTGACTTTCATGGATCCTCTACTCTTGATGAGCACCAAGAAATTGATGAGACAGCTTCAAGTAATAAGGAGAAAAGATCTGATCATATTGTTGGTGCACATCTCACTGATCACAATTATGGGCTACATTGTGATAACAGATTATGTACCTGCCTTGGCTGTGTTGCAAAGCAAAAACAAATTGAATATCTACAACAGAGGAATAGCCATTTACAGGCAAAAGTGAAAGCTACAAAGAAACAGCATGGTAAGAAAGGTGATTTTGATATGACTACTGTTGTCACGAGAACTGATAAAACTGTCAGATTGTACACTGGATTTGAATCCAAAAAGTCACGAGTAATATGTCCTTTCCTTTTATTCGTCTGATGAAAGGGACATAATGTTTCTGGTGATTTGTTGAACTATTTGATTGGAGCCAAGGAGCCCTATGTCTAAGCAAATATAGGCTATGCAGGAATGCAGTAATTGTGCTACAGTGTCATATGTGGTTATTTTCTCTTACCAACTATGCATAGTGGAAACTGAAACCGGTCATTCATGTTGTCAATAAAATATGATTTTGATATGAAAACAAATTGTTTAATCTTATGATTTTATTAATTATAATGCGAAAGAGTGCATGTGCACCCTGCAATGTGCAATTCTACACCATATAAAGGTTGCGAATCTGCACCCCTAAAGGTGCTTGCTTGCATCCCAAGGGGTGTATGTATGCACCCTTCAGGGAACAATTGTGGACCCAAACCCGTGCACCCTATATGGGACAAGTCTGCACCACAAATTGGGGTGCAAACGAGCACCCGTAGGGGTGCAGACCGCTGCTACGATAGCAGCCACCTATAGGGTGCAGATCTGCACCCCAAATAGGGTGCAATTTTGCACCCAAATTGGGGGTGTAAAATTGCACCCTATAGATGGCTGCTATTGTAGCAGCGGTCTGCACCCTATAGGGTGCAAATTTGTACCATTATTTGTAGTGTGTACCCCCCCCATCAGTACGCCAGCGTTCAGGGGCTCATGATATGCGCGTATCGCTAATATGAAAACCTCCATTGATATGGGTGGCATGCGGAATGTTTAGGAAAATTAATTCCTGTTAACTTTTCTTTGAATGAAATTTTATATGTGATTTAATTCAGGTTTTTGATATTATTGTTATGTTCTTTGGGTTTAAAAATACAAACCACCTTTACTCCTTTACTGCTTTTCTTACCCCCCAAACCCACTGTTTTGGTTCGGGGTGTGGGGTGGAGAGGCGGGGGCAAGTGCCCCCCCCCCCGCCACCCCACTTCCGGCACCTATGTCCTACCCTTCCCCCGCCTCCTTATTTTCATCATCATCACCATCGTCACAATAATATATCATCATCATTGTCACCACCACTATTATACCACCATTATCGTTTTCATCATCAACATCATCATCATCATCATTATCATATCAACATCATCATCATCATCACCATCATCATCATTATCATAATCTACATCATTATCTCAAATATAAAAACCTGTGATTTTCGCAGAGAGGTGTAAAGAAATTGAATGTAGAGAAATTTGCGGGTAGAAGTATTTATTAATCAATAGGCCCAAACAAATTCCAATACCAATCCGAGAAAAACTATATCAAAGAGAACGACATTACGATTACGTCATGTTTATATATTACACGTAAACACTATATCTCAAACAGATATACAGTACTTATATTATCATTTTTGAAAGTATAGACATTCGGAATAATGAACCCTATTTCACTTTTGGAATAAACGAAACTTCGGAATAACGCAACAAAATGTATGAAACCCTATTTCATTTTTTCGGAATTATGACCCCCTGGTATGGGAAATTTGGGTTTAGGAATAACCATAATTATGATGATGAACCTACGGATTATCATGAGCATTTGGCAAATTTAACTTTCGGAAAAACGAACGAATGAATGAATTTGTTACTATTTCTGAAAATAATATATTTACAGGGTATAACAAAACTACATGTATATGGTAATGGGACACCACAAAACGGCTGAAATGGACAATGCCGGAAAATATGGTTCCCTGATCATGCTGATTATGATACGTCATATTACTGGGATAATAAATAAATAATATTGACTGCCTCCAGGGCAATACGACATAATCGCCAGAACCGAAGGTGAGGGTGATATACAACTGTATGGATATGAGAAGCCGTATTGCCCTGAATTAAGCAATTAATAAATGCGCAATGAAAGTTACAAATACCTGGATGTTGGATCTACATTATTGCCCGCTAGTTTAACACGCATTTTGCGTTGACTTTTCTGATCGGGCAAAAATATTTGTTCATTGGTTAACTGTGTATTATTATTTAATAATATTTCTTTCGCCCGTAGTTTTGTTGGCTTATCAATAAAAACTTGAAAATTGCCTTGCTCAGATGTCTGACACGGTTAATAATATGATTTTTTTTTAACACTAGTTAAAAAGCAAAGTAATGTATTTTATATCATAATAGATAAAGATAGCAAACTGCTTTATGATTATATGCCTTGGAAATGGTTTATAATATGATGTATTTCAAAACTACTTAAAAAGCAAAACACTGTATTTTATCTCATAATAAATTAAGATAGCAAACTACTATGATTATACACCTTGGAAATGTGAAGAAAAAAAAAACGAGTGCTTCCCATCGAGTTGTTCTTATTTTGTATTCTTTAGCCAATCTTATCATATGTGACGAAAGAAATGAAATGAAATGACATAAAATCATTAAAATCTTGGTCGGAGTCGTTTGTCGACCAGCTCAAAACGGAATGAGATCGGTGTGGTCTTTGACGACCACCACGCCCACTGCGATCTCATTGGTTTTCTTGGGCTGTCGTTCGGGTTATCGGTGCCCTCATTATTATAATTCCTTCTGGGTTTCTAGATAAGAACCATGATTTCATTCCGATGAGGCTGAGGGTCCGTTGGTTTGTCATAAGCTGTAAGAGAAATACAATAAATAAATAAGTACATCAAATTACTTGTACGTTTAATTTTTCTTAACTAAGGGTTTACGTAGCCTCATCAGCTTCACCCTTGTTCATCCTGATGGCCCTTCAATTTGTTAATGTTGTTTGCTTGTTTGTTTGTTTTACCGGACTGCTAAAAAGTCATGTGTATGTTTGAAGGAAGCAAGGAGGGGACCGAAGGCTTTAGGTCCTCTCCGAGGGACTTGTTATTGCCAGGTACACATTCACACCGAGGTGGAGAGTAGCACATGTGGATTAGTGTCTGGCCAAAGGACGTTAGTGTCGGCACGCTGAGATTTGAACCCTCAAACCTTGGATATAAATTGAGTGAATGAACCACTATACCACGACACCTCAATGATGTGATGATGATGATGATGATGATGATGATGACAATAATAATAACAATAATTATTATAATAATGACAGTAATAATAATAATTATAATAATAACAACAACAATAACAATAATAATAATAATAAATACTACTAATACTAAAATAAATAATAGTAATCATCTTTATCATCGTCGTCATCATCACCAATAATAAACAATAAAGAGAATAATAATAGTATTGTTGTATGTTGTCCTGAGAGGATGGTTATCGGGAAAGTTTTCTTAAGTGGATGATTTCCACATGTACTACATAATTACTCACCTGCAATAAAGTACCAGTCTTCAAAGTATGTCTTGCCCTGCGCGTTGAGGTATCCACGAAGCTGTTCGTATTGCTCCACCGCATTGTGATTCTCGCCAACATAGGTGATGCCGTAGAACTCCAGAGAATCTGCCAAGTGCAGTATCGTCACCCCAGAGTCCTTTAAAAAAATGAAATCCACAATATCGATTAATTCTACTGAACAAAATGACTTAAGATCAAGTCACTTTGTACTTCAATCTTTCAAAGAGATTAATAGATTTGAAACATTTCCCGTTGATTATCATGTTTTCAAACAGAAGTTGTAGCTTTTTTTTGGGGAGGGTAGGGGGGGGGGGGGTTACAACGCCGTACCCCCAATTGGTTCGGTCTTATTCAAGATTATTTAAGTAACATTTGGGCCGTCACTGCCTTTCAACAAGATGATAATGAGAAAGAAGGAATAACGAGTCCTTAAGGGCCTATCTCACTGAGCGGCGAATGCTTGCAAACGTAGCGAATTTGGGGTTTCGCCAGAGTTTGTAAAATGTTGTAAAAGGTTGCAAGAAAGATCGCAAACAGTTTTCTTTGTTGTAAACAGTTTTTCTTGTCGCAAAGAAATTTTGAACATGTTCAAAATTTCTTTGCGAATTTATTTTTCCGCAAACAGTTGCAGGCGTTTGCAAAACAGTCGTAAGCCTTTGCAAACGGTTGTTAAACGGTTTTGCTCTTTGTTTTCGTCAGTTCTCTGTGTTTCGCCAAAGCTAGCGACCACGTTACCATATGGTTCCTTTATAAAATCGACCCATTGAGTACCAGTAGTTAGCAAAAGGTCTGAAACGTTCATAAATAGTGGCAAAGGATTGGCAAATAGTTGCTAATCTTCGCAAAAGTTGTCGCTAACATTTGTTTACAGTCGCTAATAGTCGCCAACTGCCTTTCGCAAACACTTTCGGAGACATTCGCTCAAATGTTGCTAATTGTCGCTAAACGTCACTTAATGTCGCTGATTTTCGCCAACATTCGTCAGAAAAGTTGGCGAATCCAAATTCGCAACGTTCGCAAGCATTCGCTGCTCAGTGAGATAGGCCCTTTAGATCCTCAAAACTGCCGATGTAAAGAAAAGCTTGATTAGAAAGTAAGGATGCCAGCAACTATAGTGGACCAGGCAGGTATGGCAGGCGGAACGTGCCATATTAATTACAGCTATACAACTTTATATACCTCACTTAAGAAATCAAGCCGTCTGATTGGTCGGAATTGGAGACGTGATTTTAGCCATTCCCGTAAAGAAAAAAAAAATGTCAATACCGGTTTAGTCCAAGAGTGAGATCCCTCAAAACTCCGGTTACCATTAAAATAGCAAAATTTTGCTGCGATACCCATTGGTTTACGTGTTAAAATGTTCCTTGTGCAAGTGCTTTTTGTCTGCGATTCCCAATGATTGAAATTTTCAGTCATTTCTTAAGCAAAGATTACACACAGTGTCTCAGATTTTCAGTGATGTTTTAACCTATCTCTACTCAATAAATGGATAAGGTAAGAATTTGTGATAGATTTTTGTTTCAATTCGACATATAAAAGACATATCGACTGCTTTAATATTCGAGGCCTGGCTGCTTTATATGCTGTCGGGAACTAGCACGTCCTGCCATGACCCCTCGGCGGCCGGCGCAATTTTTTTTTACACGCTAGCCTGGCCAGTTTCGCAATAATACTCGTAAAAGTGCGCTGGTGGGAAAGCCTACACATACATATAAAATACTATATAAATTTAGTCTTTATTTGAGGACAAAGGCAGCAAGTCTAGCACTTTCTTAAATTAACAATGCCTTTACTCATATGTGTAAATAGAATTGAAGTAGTTATTAATTTAGGTATGTGCACACAACATGTTATTAGTTCAATACTATCTTTATGTATCTCTTTTTTTTCTTATATCAAAATTGTTAAATTGATATCAATAATATTTTCAGTAATTCATTAATTCATATAAAAATTTACTGGTTCCAGTAACTTTCGTTTTCAATTGCTTCCATTTACAGGGGGTGGTTAATAATAACCCAAAGAGTAATGTTAAATCTCTGATTGTACAAAGACAACAAGCTTGGCATGTACATAACCAAGTCCTTTGGCGTCACTTAAGAAAGAAGGTAATCTTTGCTATAAAAGCCGCAAAGTCTTACCCACCTACAATCGATGAATTAATTAAGACCAATTGCCATTGCGTCATATGACGCGTTTCAACCCGTTTTTACAAACCAGGTTTGTAAAAAACGCGTCAAAACGCGTCATATGACGTACATAAACCTCGGTTTGTCGACAAACCTCCTTTGTGAATTCGGGCCTATAGGAGTGGGGTCTCATGGGGAATTTTACACCATCACGATGTTTACCCAATAAAAGGACCCTCTTCATAGTGACTCTATAAAAAAAAAAAAAAAAAAAAAAAAACACCGATAGAATTTGTCTTATGAACACAAAGTTAGGCCGTGTATGCTTTTCATACTGCCGGAGAAATTCACTCGCGTAGGTCCATGCTTGGGCGAGCCTCGGCCGCCGGAAGTGAATAATTATTGCGCAGTCGATTGCTAGCTGGGCGCGCTTTGATTTTGGATTCAGTCGGCAGCCCAACTAGCTAGCACTATAGCTCAATGCAGCTCGATTGAAGTCAGCGAAATGGTCATCAATTAATTTTACAAGCGCTAGATCATATCGCACTGGTGGAATACAATCATGGATCTACGGCGGTTGCTTCTATTTCCTTTATTACGGACATTACAGTTTATAACAAGCATTTAAAAAAAAAAGCAATTTGTCTGGCTGCAAATCCGTAATTTGGCTTCATACTCAGTATGAGGCCAAATTACGCAGGAGGAAGCAACAGTTTTGCCGATCTCGAGCGCGGGGGTTGTGGCTATTCAGCGCTGCACCTTTGATCAATTCCCCCGCAGTTTTTCTCCCAAACCCATTCATATACAGAGTTTCATCAGAGTCACACAAGAATTTCACCTGCTCTTGAGCAGGAGAATTTCATTGCTTATTTCTTTTCTATTTTCTCGGCTATTTCCCCGGACATTTTCAGTGCAGGCCCCGTTGCACAAAACTTACCATTGATGGTAACTGTGCCCGCAATGGTAATTACCATGGGAACCTTGATTTTGATTGGCTGTTGAGCCCTGTTACTATTTTATTTGCTATTGATGGCAAAGTTCCATCAGTGGTAAGTTTTATGCAACGGGGTCTGCACTGTGCCCTGAACCTACCGCCATAAGGAATTCTCATAAAAATAAAGCTTCCCTCATCATCGAGATATGGATTGGCAAGTTGAAGTATTTTCTGGCGGGACAACGGGTTCACTGTCTGTTTAAGATGTTTAAGCCCAACGAAATCTGGTGTCAGCGAATTATGAAGCAATACATGCACATGTATATTAACTACTATATGGTACTATGTCCCAATTGCAGGCCAAACAAATTAAATAATAATAATAATAATAGCCTAATAGTCCACTCCAAATTTTATTAAACCGAAACGGAAATTCTTTTTGCCCAATTGATCGTGAGCCCGGCAGCCACTGAGCATCGCCAGAAATTCCAACGGCATTTGAAAGATAAAACTAATTTAGAACTTCCCTTAAAACAAAAGGACTTGAAAATGTCTGTTGAATCGAATTTAGCGAGCGCGCTCGTTTAATTAAATGCTCTGATTTTCAAACCCTTGTACCCAATGGTCGTACGTTTTGTGCTGCGCAAAGATTCAGTCAGTTTAACTTTGGCTATTACAAGAAGTGGGTAATGGATGTAGACAAATGCTCATGTAGGCTACTGTATGTTATTACCAAAGAAAAAAGAAGTCAGTCAGTCAGTCACCCCAACTAGTGTCTGACAGTGAAGTCTAGAAAGTAAACGGGTTTACTTGCATGTTTCCTTGAATACTAGGACACTGCTAACGTTTAAATATTACAGATAGAATATACGTATAATTATGTATATTATATTCATAATTCCTGCAAAGTTCTACATAATTTGATGTTGGCTGAAAAGGGGATACACTACCTGGGCTTTAAGTTTTGTACCTGTGATGGGGTTGGGGGGGTTGCTTGCGAAGCTACAGGGATGAAGAAGAGCAGTTCGTAGCTTTGGTCACAGCAAGGGTAAGATCCTGATTGGTCGGAACACGAGGAATTAGATGACACGGGTATGTTTTCCGAGACTTTCAAAATCATTGGTTTCGTCTCATCAATCCCGTTGGCTAGCAAAACAATTCGACATGAAAGAAATGTTGATAGAATAAGACGAAGCAGGCCTAATACAATATTTATGTTTACAAGTGCCAAAGTATACATCCCTCCTACATTGGCTTGAAACAATTCATCAAGATTAAAAAAAGAAACGGAATATAACATTGCCAAAAAAGAATGTAACTTGCCGTTTCATTTTAGGAAGCGGAAGTTTAAAATCCCATCTGCTATCTTCACTTTTCTCCCATGTCAAATGACTGATTTAAAATGATATCCATGCTAATATTTTAAAGGAAGAGGGGGAGTCATTTGTTCTTGTTTGTTTTATTTAAAAAAGATGTAGTAGGCATAGTAAGATATCTGTGAAAGGTCCTCATACCATTTTCTTCCCTCGGCATGTCCCCCCTCCCCGCCCCTCCTCCCATCCATATATTTTCTCTTACTTTCTCTTTAAAAAGGCTTTTATATTCAAATAGATAAGGAAATAGGCAACTGGATTGCTATTTTCTATTTTGGATAATGCTTACAATTATTCTTAACAATAAGAGGCACATTGTACACAAAATATACGAATACATAAATTATGGCAATATTCTTCCAAAGCTAACGTAAAGAAAAGCTAGACGTAGGAAATCAAACGAGACTAAAAAAAAAACCGAAAAGGTTTTCCCCATGTATAATTCGAATAGATGAAATTCATCAAGACATAATGATCAAAAAATTATGTAGAACATAATTTTGATTTTATCAATTTATTGCCTAGTTATGATTATTAATTACTTGTTAAATCCGATTGGGTACGTCTTTTTTAGGAGTAGAATGCATTATGCTAGTGCACATAAACTTAATTTTTGTTTGTTTTTGTTTTACAGCAGCTAACCAATGTTTCCAATTATTATCAAATACCCGTTTAAACTTATTGTTTTTAACATAGGTTTAATATCGTAATGAACGATAATATCTTAAAATGGCTTTGAAATAATTGATCAACGATAAGCTAAATTTACGTTTGATGGAAAGCGTGTAGTATTTGGCGTATAAGATAATCAAATAAGATCGAATTCATTCACTTCCATAAAATCCAAAAAAAAGTTGACCTTATTTAAAGTAATTTTATCATCTAAAATCAAATTTTGGATAAACCTTCTTATAAATTTGGCAATCTCAAAATAAGTGTTCTATGCTTTCTTCGGAATTATAACAAAATGTACAAAAGTCTGATTCTCAAAGCTTACCCACAAAGTAGGATTGGAGGTAACTGAAGACTAAACCTGTTGCTGCAGATTGGTTGCAGGTTGGAGCGACCTTATACGCCCATACAGTTGGTTCTAACCGTCTCTTCCACATATTTGAACCAAATTCTTCTAATATAGTAGTGGTGGGGCACTCTAAGCCTGCAGATAGATTATTAAATAAATTGATAGATATGTTAATAGATGAAAACAAAATCAAAACAAACATGGATAAATAAATAAATAAATGCGCAACTAGATAAATAAATGAATAGATAAATAAATACTTGCATACATAGTCTACTAAATTCACAAATACACATATACAAATAAATTAATATATCTATTGAAATACTCACTTTTACATTGTTGAATTACACTATGAGGCTGTGGGGTAGGGGTCGGGGTCGGGGTCGTGGCGGGGACTGCGGTAATCGACATTGCGATGAAAGTGAGGAGACAAACTGCCAACATGATTAACGATTCTGTGTGAAGAAAACAAATATTGAAAAATCTTCTCAAACACGACGGCAAAGATTTTCGAGAAAAAAACCCAAACAATTTAAGTAGATAAAGCAACTAACTAAACAAACGTGCTAAGGGTGGAAATTGATCAAATTCTTATTTTTTAAGCAAATAAGGTGGACGATGCTCCGCATGTTAGTACATGCCAAGAAAACATCACTTACGGGCGTTCAAAATAGCAACAAAAATCGGATCGCAGCTTTGCGGCTCGTAGACGATGCTCTGCATCGTCATTGGGTCAACCCCCCCCCCCTTGGCAAAAAGCTAATCCGTCCCTGCTTTTTTGTAATATTTGTATGCAAGAAATTGCCACTCCCGAGGCGGTGTCACGCAGAGGCCAAAAATCCGGATTTTAGTTATCCGGATTTTAGTTATCCTCTTAATTGCTGTCTGTCATAAATTATCTCATTAAAAATCCACTAACGAAGCAAGAAAATTCTCCCTTGAAAGGATTTTTCAAGGGATTTTTTAAGGGATTTTTCTGTGTAACACCGCCTCCGGTGGTTACATTTCACACTGACTATATGCGTACGCATGATTATTATAAGTTACGCGTAAAATAAATATAATTTTTATGGCGGTTTGCAAACACTAAAAAGCCTACATGTAAATACAGGCTAAAGCAGCGTTTTTCAACCTTTTTTTTAAATAATCCGCATGACACTTCTTTCAAAGAAATGAAACAGTTTATCGTCACCCCATTCCTAAATACTTTACAGAAGATTCAGTTAGGATCCCTCTAACACGCGTCAAGTACCATCTACACTTTGGCAATTTTTATCTTCTAAATTTTGCGAGCGACCGGAGCAAGCGAGCAAAAAATTATGATACTTTTGTTATGATAACAAATGTACCTTATGATTAACACACGTGATAAAATATAGAATTAAGAGTGCGAGCATCTCGCTGCAGAAAACATGAATGCCAAAATCATTTGATGCGGTCAATTCGATGCACGAACATGAAGAGATTCGGGCTTCTCATTGGTCAGAATAATTATCATCTTTCTAAATGTTGCAAGCGAGTGAAACAAACGAGCGTGGTCAAAATGTAATTTGATATAAAGGATGTAATATATATTCAGGCAACTCTCTATTAAATAAAAGTCTATTTAATGGGCACTTCATTGCTCAACGATGAAGGTATTCAGGCACTACGCTGCCAGAAATCATCCTGTTTTTAAAAGTTGTGAGCAGTGAAGCGAGCGACGAACAAAGACACTCTATCACCTTCAAAATGCTATTTCCTCATGAAATAACATACTCTAACGGTTTTTAATAAATTGGTTTTCACATAATCGACGTTATTCCCAAAAAATGATTTTTTTAAAGTGTTACTCAAATTCTCAAATTCAACCGGCACCCCGGTTGAAAATTAAGTGCTTCTTAGATCTAAAAATCACAAAATCTAATAAAATGTTATTCAATGCGCTCAATGTTCACGAATTTGAAAACGGGTATTTCTTTGTAAAGATCAATTAATTTGAGGAAAAGCTTCATATTCTCAGTATCGATGTTCGCAAACTTCGCAGATCGACATGTGAATGGGTATGTATCTTGTTGTTTTGTTTTGTGTGTATGTTGCAAATAAAACATGGCACTCTTTTTGAATGTGTACTCAATAAGCAAAAATAGGGTTAGACCTATAATTTATATAGTTCCCATTTTGTACTTGTGAAATTAAAAAGGGGTCACGTACGTATTGAGGTAAATATTCTTGAACGTATGCAAACTTAAAGGGTCATTAAATTATTGACTCCGCGCTAACCATCGTGATCGAACACTTTAGAACAGTTGTTGAAAATGAATTGGCATCACTGCGTCCACAAAACGTAACTCACCAATCGTCTACTGTATTTGTAAAGAGTCTTGCAAACGGCCACCCTTTGTGCTGCTCAGTGTATGACGTTCTGGTCTGCCCGTATCAACAGCTTTGACTCCAAGCTGAGGATACTGGTGGTTTTATGGCTTTCCAATAGTAGCGTATGAAGAGGCCAGGCCGGGCGGCGATTTTTTTTTCCCAAACAGTTTTACCTATGAGCGTAAAATCCTACCTGATTGGTTCAGAGGTATACGCATCATGAGTATTCATGACCGAGCTGCAAAGATACTAGTAGTATTACGCATGCGCGTGACACAAGTCGAATTAGCTGCTTATATCATGCAGCTATATGCTAGCTAGCTGTGTACGTACGTACTCTGCATACATGCGCAGTGATTGCTTCAAAGATGTAACTTTTACATGAGCAATTATGGCGGCGTCTGAATCTTAGAATAAATAGTGAGAGTTCAGGTTTTATTTAAAATTGGGATATTTTAATGCTTAAATTCATGAAAGTAGGTCAAAGGTTATGAACCTGCTGATTGTATTTATCGTTGAAAGCTCAAATTAATGCAAAGAAATGGAAGTCCTTTAAATATTAAGACTCAATATGTTGTTTTTAGATCAAGGGGCAAAAGAATCCCAGATAATATTGACCCCCTGACAATAGGTGGTCATCTGATCAACCGGAGTCAAAATGTAAGGTTTCTTGGAGTTACAGTTGATGAGCATTTAACTTGGAAAGATCACCTCAGCAATGTTTGTACCAAGGTCTCGAGGAGTGTTGGTGTGATTTTTAAGTTACGCTTTTTTTTACCAGAGCAAACTTTAGTAACTCTTTATAATGCTATCATTATGCCTCACTTAACTTATTGTAATGTTGCATGGGGAAATACGTATAGGAGCCATATAAACAAGTTAATAGTCCTTCAGAAGAAAGCTATCAGGCTCATTACAAATTCAAATTACAGAAGTCCAAGTAATCCTTTATTTGTGCAACTTCAGATGTTGCCTCTTGATGAATTAGTCTCCATGAATTGTTTGATATTCATGTACAAATCTCAATCTGCTCAAAATAATTCATTTTTAAAAGATGCGTTTATTGTAAATTCGACTGTCCATTCGTACAACACACGTCAGAGAAATCTTATCCATCAGCCGTTTGCGAGAACACAAACTGCTTCGAACTCTTTTGTAATTAATTGTATCAAAGAATGGAATAAGTTGCCACAAAACATCAGATCCAGTCCAACACTACCTATGTTTAAACATACATGTCGAGAATATCTTTTTGAGAGATTACAAAATATGTTAAAGTAAATCCTGGAAAGCCATGTGTGTATGTGTGTATGTGGGTGTGTGTGCGTGGGTGTGTATGTGTATGTGTGTTATCTTTTTTTTCTGTTCCCATATTTACTCATTAGTTATCATTGTAAATATGTTTTTGTCATCGG